TGCTCGAAAGAACTCACGTCCTTCGTGCTGATAACGCTGAAGGATATTTGTACGGTTTTTCGAGCTTGGACGCTGAGTTCTGAGCGAGGCTTCGAACGATGAGATTGCACAAACGATGATCACCACAGTAGAATGAACACAACAGACGTGAAGTAAACCCGAACGGGAATTCTCCTCAAGTGCTGAAGACCTTTATTGAACTAGCTTATATACTACTAGATACATGCGGTCAGAAAGGGTTAGTCTGTACAAACTATCTAGTATGTGCTTTCGACATAATCGAATGCGTTTGAATACGTCCGCGATTAGCGGGTTGCTGATTACTGGCATGGTCAATCTACGATGGCCTACTTCTATGGGTTTGGGAAACTGTAAACTAGTCAAGAGTGAATAGTTTTTCTATCAGTTTTCAAAGAGGGTGAACAGCCAGAAGCTGTTGAAGCTACACAAACAATGCCGCAAGCGAACCATTCAGCTATCATGAAGCTGTGAACTCGCCAGAAAAGGAATACTGGCTGGAGGCCATGGATGAGGAAATGAAATCCATTGAAAAACAGAAAGTGTGGGATTTGGTTGAATTGCCACCCAACGTAAAACCCCTGACATGCAGATGGGTTTATAAACGAAAGATTAATGAGAAAGGTGAAGTCAGGTACCGCTCAAGACTCGTCATACGCGGAAATCTGCAAAAGGCAGGAATCGATTACGGAGAACTATTTTCTCCAACCGCGAGATTTGATACCCTACGGACAGTGTTCAGTGTCGCCGCAGAGGAGAAACTCAAGCTGGTACAGTTTGACGTGAAATCGGCCTTTCTCGTGGCGGAACTAGAAGAATCAGTGTGGATGGTACAGCCAGAGGGTTACGATGACCGGAGTGGAAAGGTCTGCCGTCTGAACAAAGCTCTGTATGGGCTGAAACAAGCCAGCCGAGCTTTCCATCTGAAGTTCCGCAGCCTACTCCTTGACTTAGACTTCACGCAAAGTAAGTCTGATGCATGTTTGTTTATCGATCAGGGAATGAAAGAGTGATTCTCTGCATCTATGTCGATGATGCGTCCGTGGTGCAAACTCAGAGGAATTGATTGATAGAACTCTGTCAGCAATCAAGGATAGGCTTGAGATCACTCATCAGCCGCTGACATACTTCCTCGGGATTCAGATTGAGGTAGATCCTAAGAGGGGTATATTTATGCATCAACAAAAGTACATCAAGGAATTGCTGGAAAGATTCGGAATGACGAACGCCAAGGGAGTATCAACCCCAATCCAAGGGCGAATCGCTCCGAACGAGACAGAAGAGAAATGTCCACCAGAGTATCCATACCGACAGCTTATCTGTAGTCTCATGTACGCTGCGATATGCACTCGTTTTTGACATTGCATACAGCGTTGGATATCTGAGCAGATACCTGGAAAGCTATACGAAAAGCCATTGGACAGCGGCGCTGCGAGTGCTGCGATTTTTGAAAGAACATCGGATCTCGCTATCCACTATGATGGGACGCGGAAACAACGAGTTGAGAACGTTTTCAGATTCCGATTTCGCCGGAGACTTGGATACAAGGAGAAGTACTTCAGGCGAAATCATCAAGAGAGCAGGAGGAGCAATAACCTGGGCAAGTAATAGACAACCACATGCAACGCTGAGTTCATGTGAAGCCGAACTCGTTAGCGGCTTGTTCTGCCGCTAAGACTGCCCTGTGGGTGAAGAGACTCCTGTCAGAACTTGGATGCGACGTCAAGCCGGTTCTCGAGATTGACAATCAATCCACCATTGATTTAATTCGGAATCCGACGACTTATCATAAACGAACCAAGCATATTGACGTCAAGTACCATTTCGTAAAAGAAAACGTCGAGAACGGAAACCTGGGTGTTACTCACGTACCTACCCAGTTGAACGAAGCAGATATCTTCACGAAGGCTTTAGCGAAACCAGTCTTCCAAAGACTGAGGAAAGCAGCGGGATTGCAAAGATGTCTCGAGCAGTGATCATTGGTCTGCTGCTGCTCGACATGACTCAATCATTTTTCGTTTACCAAGATTGCAACCCGAGCTGCATCCATTACAAAGCCAGCTGCACTATCACCGAAATCAATCCAAATTATTTCGCTAATCAATGTTCTGAGACGGAAGAGATATGCGAATCGAATGCATCACCAACAATGGTATGCCTGAGACCAGATGCGCCATCATTAGGGGGAGAAGAAATCTGGGACGATTTTCGAAAGCATAAGCCTAATCCGAACCCCAAGCCGAATCCACAACCAAGAACGGTTGATGATTGTAGGAAATGGAAGATCATAGTGATCCTGAAATCAGGACTCATTTTGCTATACGTTGTCAAGAAGATTCTCTCTCGGATGATGCGATGCCTCCGATCAGAAGCATACGAACGAATTGATCCCAATGCTGAGAATCCTGTCTGTCAGGAAACGACTGAAGAAATTGAAAACCAGAATCAATAGAAAACGAATCGAGGAGGACTCTTTAAGATTAATGGTCTCTCCTCGCGATCTCTTCATGTGGCCTTAGCAAATTTTTTATGGGGCCGGGACCTCGACCGCCACGGTGGCTCGGAATGAGACAGCGGCATTCGTGGGACGCGCCCCGAAACCCCAGACACACAATTCGAGATCAGTCGAGTAGCAAACGTAGTAGGGACTGATCGTTTGGCAGTTGAGCGAAACGGCGGGGACGGACATCGTAGTTCCCCTGTTCGGAGGAAGCGTCGTCGTCGTCGTTGTTGTGCGACGGACGAACGGCATCCGCGGTATCGTAGTCGTCGCAATCACCGACGGTGCCTCGGTCGATGTCGTGGTCGTGGGAGCACCAGTTGAAGGTAAGCCTCCTTCAAGGCTCGCGACGTCCGGATATACGTCGTATCGATCGGCCGACGGATGAGGATTGGGGGAGCGGTAGAGAACGTTAATCTCAGCTCTCGCATCCAAAAGTCCGCCGAATCTCAACACAACGACTAAAAGCAGAAAAATGGGAGATATCGGATTAGATGAGAACTTGATCAAAGAGGAGATCGAAGAATCGTGGGGCAAATGTGAGAAACTAACCGGCCGAGACAACGATGACTAGGCACATGAGTGCCAGTCCTATGCACCAAGCGATCTTCGAGCATTTCCAAATGTTCCGCTGCGGGAACGAGGTCGGGAGGCTCCGGGTGCTGGCAGGAGAGCCCGAGGCGGTAGATCGGAGCTCAATTTCTTGAAGCTCGTCTCCCACCGTGCTCATGTCAATCTCGGCTGACGAGTCACTATCCTTCGGCGTCCGGTACCGGCGATACTCCGGTTTGGAAGTGAGCCAGGAGTATTCCCAGTTCGACGGTTTCACACGATATGAAACCGAGCTGTTCTTCGAGAACAGAGGCTCCACGGATGCTGGAGCGGACTCGTCGGATTCGAGTGGAAGAACTTTCCTGCGCACGGAGAGAACCATGACTTTGTCGGACGATCAGTCTACGCAGACGGAGGGTTTGTGAAAACAAATGCTCAAGTGCCAGAGTGCGTCGAACGGATCAAAGGAAGCGCGATACGAGCGTGGTGGACGTTGGGAAAACACCAACGTAGAGTCGAAGACGATGCTTCACACCACCGGTTCAGCCTGAAGGAAAACAACCCTTCGATCCAACCATGTATACATCTCCAATACTGATCCATGGGTCAGCTTGAACAAATAGATAACCTATGTTCAGCTCCAGAAAACAGAAATGGACTCAATCAAGGTTGAGGACGACTGGGACCAGTCCAACTGGAATCACCAGGCGGAAGAGGATTCAGACCCTGAGCAGCCCACCACAATGGAGCGGCAGCAACGGATCACTGAGGACATCCTGAACCATGTGACATCTCTTCAGGTTTCCGTTGCCTACATGAGGCAGCGGATCTCTGGGAATCAAGAAACCAGGGAAGATGTGATCAAGATCTTCCGTAAGATCGCTGACGACATCAGCGAGATCTTTCGTAGATGTGGTTGGACTACGAGATGAAATTGTTTTGTCGAGATCTGAACAGACACTCTCGAATAACCGAATCGACGATGCACGACCATAACGCACTATGATCACAATGTTATTGTTATCTGTTGTCATATATTCCATTGTAATGAGATTATGCGACTGACGGGAAAAAGGGGTAGTTGTTCGGAATGGAGCCAGTTTGGCACCAAGTTTTAAGTTTTCCCCGGTCCGTCACAGAATCTCAAGGCTACTGCGTAGCAAGTTCTTTTGTTCTTGTGATTAAGCAAAACTCCAGAAGTTATAATTGGCAGAGCAATTATATTTCACAATACCTGGAACTTATCCAGATGGGTGAGGGTTTTCCATACCTATATATATGCACCAATAAAGCTGGCTTAGTACCGAGAAGATCACGCAGACTTCGATGCTCTGCCCCTGATTTGAACACCACTACAAGCGTGTGTGTTTCTTTCGTATCAGTCGTTCCGTAAAGTATTAGTGTCCAGTAAACCACCCTCGGTCCACTGTGCTAGCAGCAGGAACCTGAGCCTTCAAGAATCTAACAGCCGTACTCCCATCAGCGAGAGCGATCGTTACCGTTTCCCCGATGGAGAAAGAGCGCGGTTTGGCGCCGTGATGACGATTGTAGTATGCTTCCATCTTCTCCTGACCCTCCGTACGAGGAACGTCAACAGGCTTCCGCGCCAGAACCTCTAGAGGAGTCCTGATCTTACGGCCGAAAAACACCTCAGCTGGGGTTTCATTTCCGATCGTAGAGTTCGGCGTGTAGTTATATGCGGCCACAGCGGCATCCAATGAGGCAGGATCGGAGGTGATCGAGTTTTTCAACGTTCCGACCATCCTTTCCGCTTGGCCGTTGCTTTGGGGACAGCGAGGAGCGCATCGGAGATGAATGATATTGGAATCCGCGCACAGTTTAGCGAATTCAACCGACACGAACGGGCCGCCGTTGTCAGACACCATGGTATCCGGTGGCCCGAAGAGACGGAATAAGTTGCGGAGATAGGCCACGAGAGCTCGGCTTGTTGCCGGCGAGAGCCGAGCCGCATCGACGAATTTGGAGAAGCTGTCGACGATTACGAGGAACGTTTTCCCTTTTTGAGGTTCCGCGAAGTCGAGGTGGATCCGGGACCACGGCTCCTGGGTGTCCGGCCACGGTTGCAGAGGAACCTTGATTGGATCTGCGGCATTCTTGATACAATGTCCGCAAGACTTTACGTAGGCTTCGATGTCTTGACCCATTCGTGGCCAATAGAAATGACTGCGTGCCAGTGCTTTCATGCGACGAGCCCCGGGATGCGCGAGGTGTAGCTTCTTGAGCACCGCAGTTCGCAAGGAGACCGGAACGACAACTCTGTCGTCGAGCAAGAGAATGTCGTCGACGACACACAAGCCTTCCGCTTGTTGTGCGAATGCGCGGAGAGACGGATCTTTGCGGTCTTCATCAGACCATCCGTTTTGAAGGCGACAGAGAATGGAGCGGAGGAACGGGTCTTGCCGGGAAGCTTTGCGAAATCTGTGGCTAAATCCCATGCACCGAGATTACTGCGAGCCAAGACGAGACTTCCATGTCGTTGCATTTAGGCTTCCGATCACCTCGTCC